GAGAATAAGGAGAGATGACTGACAAGACCATGCTGGAGTATTTGCTGCTCAACAGATCCTGAACTCATTGACAAATATCTGATCTTGTAAGATGTGCTCCCTTTACACAGAGTGCGTGTGATCGCGAAATCGAAAGTGAAAGTAAACAGCGCAAACGCTCATTGAAAAATATTTAAATACACCGCATCCTGAGAGCGGCTCCCTGATGCGCCAAAATTCTATGAAATATTAGAATGTTTAAAGGAGTGGACATGAAAATTGCGGGAGCGAAACACATTGCGGGAGCAGGCGGCAATGGTCAGAGATTCAGAAAACAGCCGAATCCCGGACATTTTGGGCAATTAAGAAATCCCGGCCTGACGCATTTTTGTAGGTCCAAAAATAGGACATGTCCGGGGAAAAGAGGAAGTATGGTCACCCTAAATTATGTGATTTCTCAGTGAGACGCATATATATTTATATACAGAACATATAGTTGTGTATACTGTTTACAAAGCTAAAAAAGATCTGACTTGTGAAGTGTCAACTTACACACTTCTATTCTGACAGAATTCAGTCACATGTTTGTTCATATCAGTTATTGTATTTTTAAGAAAATAATATAATAATAATAATTTGTCTTGCTTCAGTCAGCTTGGCAGGTTGCTGGTTTTTACAATAATAGTCGGTTTGTCTTTTAACAACAAAGGTGTAACAGACATCAGTGGGGAAAATAGGTTTTACAAAACACAATAAAGAAAATATACAGTCATTACAGTCATTATGTTAAGACTGGTTGACTTGGACATTATCTGACTTATTGCATGACTACGTATCAAATAATTTAATATATGATTATTAAACACTGAAATTTCTTTATTAGCATGTAGACAGAATACAAGCACAGCTGTGAAGGAAACATTGTTTTGCGAGATGAGTGGTCAGTTATACAGCACTGCCATGGGCAAAAGTCATTATTCAGATATGCTTTTTTTTTCTTTCTTTTTTTTAGGTTTCGGTTATATGGATTTCAGGAATTAACTGCTTTTAAAAGTGTTTCTGGCTTGCCCACAGGGATGAAAAACATCCTGATGACTCAATTACCCTTTACACAACAATAACCAGATCAGTACTGCAAATCAATGCCATCAGTTGCAGAAAGAGTTGCAATTAAATATGTTCTTTGAGGTAATTTGCGCCATCAGAAGAGCTAAAACTAATTTCTATGTCCTAAGCCTCTTATTTCAGAATTAAAATATTTAAAGTCGCCCTGATCTTGTCTGTGAAGCACCTAATCCTAGTGCCTGTGGAATATCTGAGAGGATCGCCGCACTTTTTTCAGTATTTGCCTGTGCCAAACTATTACATCACAACGTCATTCTAATTTTCTGAACTACGGTTTCCAACTTTATCGGCAGCTCTGTGGTGTATGTTACCGTAATGTGTAATTTCCAACTGATATGACTTCATATAAGCGTAGAATTGCTTCACGTTACAAACTGCAACTTCTACTTCTATTTGTTGCGCTCTCTCCGGCCGTATGAGCGACGCCAGCGCGCTGCCGCTGCTATATAGCCCTCTAAAAATAGCTCACCTTTCACTGCCTTCTACGGCCCGATTGACAAGTGTCATGAGCCAATCGCACTAGAATATTCAAATTATACTCCGCCTCTTTGGCCATTTAAGCACCGCCTTACTGGACGCTAGTGAGATCATCAACCCTATTTACCGTATATGGTCACGCACGGAATTGATTGACAACAAACCACGCCCCCTCAGTTCCCTTGGCTTCCTCTCGCTCGCGAGACAGCGAGCCCAGCAACTTGCCTTGGTGATCCACGGCATTCAAGAGAAAGGCAATCTGGAATTTATAGCGCAAAAGAGACAGAGGCAATGCGGAAATAGGTGGACAGTTCATGTCACCGAGTTTGCATCCCACTCCCAGGCTGAGGATCTGAGAGTTCGCGGGGATTGCAATTAAGTGACAAGAATTATTTTTATTTTCCTTCCTTTTCTCAGCGCTTAAAATTACCAGCTTTAAACTACACTTCGCGGAGGATTTGAAGCATTCTTTTGCATTTGACATTGGGCTGAGAAGAAAACAGATTATACCTGAGGATCAAAGCAACACTTTTTTTTCTTGTGAGCATCAACATGGACGTGTTGGCGAATTACAGTATTTTTCAGGAACTTCAGCTGGTGCACGACACGGGCTACTTCTCGGCGATGCCGTCGCTGGAGGAGAACTGGCAGCAGGTGAGAGAGTTTGCGCGTAACTACTTGCACTGTTAGTTCGCATAAATGAGCCGTGCGTAAATGCGCACATGCATCAAATGGAAACATTCACAACTTCACAGTGCGCGCTTATGCCCAAAACACGCTGTTTTCCGTGTCCAAATTATTCCGCGTTGTGGTTTTTAGTGATGCAAGTGCTGTTTTGCTTCTCTCACGCTAAAAGCATGGCTAGAACTCCGGTCTTTTTATTTAACCGAGTGAAAGTGATTATTAGTTTGAAGAATAATCTATAATATGCTTTAAGGAGTGAAATGCATATTTAGTACACTTCTTTGCTGTACACTCAAGGCAAAATAGATGTCAACGACAGAATGAGACACGAGATGATTCATGTGCATTATAGGCTACTTCTAACGGGAACTGACTGAATGGCGTTTTGTTAAGGCGAACGTAATGTGGCCAGAAAAAAAATAAAGGCTTGGCTAACAATAAGCGACTCGTTATTAAATAATGCATTTGCATCTGTCAGATTACTTCGTGTTTTTCTGCCCGACGATATCAAGAGCAGTTCCCGATCGTCATGTATTATGTATTACCTCCGCCGCGAGGGTGCGCACGTGAGTGGATGTGAGGAGAATGCATCCCTCTGCCTCTGAGAGCTGGTGTGCATCTGTATGACAATTTGCTGACTCTTTTAGGGGTAGAGATAATCAATAATAATAGTAGTGTTTTACATTTTTATGACATCCCACTTAAGCCTTCTGGACGATTTGGAAGTGATGCACGTATGTGCAAATTGGGAAATATCTATCAGGGTCATGTTTTTAAGTGATGTGGTCTTTATATGATCAATGCAAATCAATTGCTTGGTGTTCTTGGTCAATAATTTCTTTAGTAGCCAAATACAGCAATAATAGCAACAGGGTTTGGAAGTTCTGTAAATTAAACAGCAGCAATTTAATGCCAAGATTTATGGTTGGAGGTAAGAAGGACATCTGGTAATCGATGTGACGACGGACGCCTCTGCACGCATGCACCGGCTCTCTTCAGCTCATTGCAATTCCATGTGCTCAACTGCAGGGAAATGCAGCGAGTGGTTATTTATCGCTGGTGTGTGAACTTGAAACAGATCTACCCCCACTGGCAATTCAACTGGCACTTCTACACCAACACAAATATTATCTGGTAGCAAATGCAAATACAGAGATATTGGCATGAGTATAGAAGGAAAATGCAGATCTGGCGATCTCATCTCAATGATTAGAACAGTAATATGTCATGCAGGAAGACAGACAGTTCTGGTTCATCAGCTAATTCTGGCATTAATTAACTTAAAGCATCATGGTCATATCAAACAATGGGGCATTGCGTGCATGGGGCATTAATTCCCTGTGGTGTCGTGAACTGGCTGTCCAAGCACACATGGATCACAATTTTTACACTACAGTTTTACACTTCTTTGCTTTTATATATATATATATATATATATAATTTTATTTTACTTTATTAATTATTTTACTTTTACTGCTCTTAGAATTGAAACAAAGAGAGAGACAGAATTAGAATTAAGATTAGTTTACCAGCCTAATTATGACTCAAAAGAAAACAAGCTCTTGTGAGCTTGTACAACCTGCAGATGTGTTCATATGCCACTGGCAAAGACAGTTTAGAGATAGCAGAGAGAGTATCAGCTAACATTACAAGAAGAGGGGAACAACCACATGGAAACAGAAAAAAATAAAAGTTGAATTTATGACAAGAAAGTGAGCATGAAAAGAAAAAAGGCCTATCTCTGTAGATAGGTAAATATAAAGTTTTTTTTTCTTTGAGTGACATCACAGTTAAAGTGTGATGCTTTTACAGGTTGGGATGGTTTTAAAGTGTAGCCCTAGATCTGCCAGTGCAAGGTAAACAGCACCCTTTGAGCGGGAGACAAGATGGATAGCTGTGCTCGGCCCCTTGCGAGCGGAGCATGAATCAGACCTTAATGGAGGCGATATGGGTGAATTGAGTTTCAGAGCTCAGGCTGAGACCAGGGATGGGGCGCAAGGGCCATGGAGTGGAGGGTGACGGAGGTGATGTGCTCAGGGATGACGAGGGGTTGTCCGTCGAACGTGATGAAGTCCTCCCGGGCTTGATGTGCACTGCATCCATTCCCCACAAGGGACGCCGGCTGCTGGCACCGTCTCCCCCAACTTAAACAAAGACGCTATCTCTCACTGTCAAGACAATACCCAGAAGAGAGAGAAAAGAACACAGAGGGAAAAGACAGAGCGGGCGGCTCGCTGTAATCACAGCTTGCCAACCTTTCTTGGGGCAGAGAAGGGAGGGATTATTTCGGCGGTGACCCGCAAGTGAATTCAAAGAGTGGCTGTTTGTGCAACAAGAGAGCCCCTGTTGGCTCTAACCCCCTCCCTAAGCAGTGCCACCCAGTACGACTCTCAGAGCTCCTCACTGGAGGTTGGAAGAGCAGGTGGAGTGGCCTGGGGAATGAGGCAGAGGCAGTAAACAACACCATTAGAGGCAGCCAAGGCGGCTTGGCCAATTAGTAAGGATCACCTAAGAGACGGGTTGGGGGGCTGAGTCTGTTTGTCTGCATCCATCCATCTGTCCTCCATCAGCTAGTGCGTGTGTGCCTTTGTTGGTGTGTCGTCTGACAAGCAGGCCTTTTTGTGGGTCACAGCGAAAATGGGTCACTCTCTGTCTCTTTGTCTACAAAGTCTGGCAGACCTGTCCTTACAGCACTCTTCTCCTCGTTGTCAAGTGTTTTGTTTGGAAAGTTTTCATCAGCATCAGTAATTCCAAATGACTTTGTTCTAATTTCAGAAGCAGGGTTTGATTGTTTTGCACCTATCTCAAACCTTTTCTAGGACTACTACTCTAAGCATTGCGGTCCGAACCCATGAGACCGGATTGTCCTGACAATCCCAGCAAAACTTTAAACCTACCCTTTTTTCCCCATGTTCTATCAATAGCTTTAATGCTAAAAGGTTGAGAAATATAATCTGAGATGTGGTGAACTTCTCAATGCTCACTGGCAGCTGGAGGGCAGACGACTAACCCACAGAAACACATCACAGTCAGTAGAACTGGAACACATCTGAGCAGGGTCACGTAAGTCCCAGAGACTAGCTGAAGGCAACAGCTATCTGAGGCGAAGGCGGTGCAGATGTTGAGCTCGGTCTGTCCCAGAGAAGCCCAGTTTGACAAGATAATAAATCGCACTGCTTGCATATTCTGTGCTGTGAGTTTTTGCATTTCACAGCCCAGTAACTTTTTGAAACAAAGGGCTGGATAGTTGGGTCAGTGGATGGGGGCTGGGAAAGAGGTGGTGTATCCACATAATACCAATAAAAATGCATTTACATTGAGCTGGGCTACGTCAATGCTCCTGTGGGGGTTCCTCACCGGGCCTGCAGGAGCCCACCATCTTCACTAGCTTGCCCCTATGCTTTCTTGCTAATTTTCCCCTGCAGCCTATGGTGCAGGCAGTTGGCCATCCATCCCTTTATCGCATTCCTTTGCTGTCCACATTGAGCTCGCTCCAGCTGAAGGCATTCAAGCTTTCTCTGGGCAGTGAACACTGAAATGTGCATTATGTAATACCCTGAGGAACAAAGCTGCTTTCTCACAGTATATCTAAATTCTGACAGCACTGAGGATTCTCAAGCCCCTTTTCAGGTCTCTTTCTGCAATTGGTAAAGCTCCAGGAAACCAAAGTAATGGGCAAACATATTACCTTGTTGACAGCACCAAAGAAAACTCCCCTGAAGTTGTGGCGCGAGTGGTAATATTGGGATGTCTTCAGAGACCAAGATACTGTACTAAGCTCCTCCTTATGTCCTGGGAGACTTACAGGTCCAGGCAAAGAAGGTTCCTTGTACTCCCTCAAAGCTTTGTGCTTTCTGCAACAACCTATATTTTGTCAGTGGTGATGTTCTCACTTGCTGACCTTACTCTGAGGGAACCACCTTGGCATTAAATCTCAAACCTGTTCGACCGGCCCCACTTTGAAGTGTTAACAGGTCTATCAATACATGCTGATGCTCAGGCATTTGTTGAAATATAAGGACTCCCACGTCAAGATAAATAAGCCGTCAGAAAGTTATCTTAAGCAGATATGCAGTGCATCTGTGGAGGCCTGACTACTTTGACACCTTCCTTCCCAATCCTACAGCTTTGACCTCGGTGGCCCCTGCTGAACCAGTCAACAGGCTCCATTAGTCACTATGTTGGCGGTACATACTTTTGACCCACAATGGAAAGTACCTGTCACTCTTTATGATCCTATTACCGATTTGAACTTTTTAGAACTTATTTGATCTCATCAGCTGTTTGGTTTCCACTGGATTATCGACTGTCCCATATAATGGCAGGGATCAGCGAGCAGACAGACACTCATAAGTCACCACTGTGTTGTTATCAGTGTGACATCATAAACCAACCCATTGTTTCGGGCATTTCCTGTACGCTGCCCCTGCCAGTGACTAGACAGGTCAAAATCAAGCGCTGTCTGGGTTTAATATACACTTTGAATCACTGTCTTCTGAGATTACAAAAGAGCTGTCTATTTTTTTTCTTCCCGCCTACCTATATCTCTCTTGTGATTTAGATTTTGTGATGTGCAGTCTTTGGGAGTAAGTGCATTTACATCATGCACTTTAAACATTTTGTTTCAGTCGGACTAAAGCGATAATTTGTCTTTTTAAAAATGTTATGTCGATGTTTAGTCACTAAAGTTAGATATAAATCATATTAACATATTAGATTTTTGCAAAGTTGGACTAACCGGCTAATGTGATTATATCTCAGTTTCGTTCCAGCATGTATACCCATTAATCTACTACAATTTGCCTTATCTTTGTGCAGCCTGTATTTAATCCTTTAAATATTTGGTTACACGTTGTGTCATGTATACTTGCACAGCCAAAGCACAACTAATACAAAAAAAAAAAACACTGTAGCTCAAATACAGCATATAAATATTCTTAGTGACTACAGCAAAAGCGGAGCCCCAGACA